AAACTTCAAAACATATGCAAATTTTTAACAAAGAACATAGTAATTTACCTCTATTTACATCAAAATGCAGGCAATGGCCCAGGTGTTCTTTGTAAAATTATTTACAAAACACTGTATAGTCTCACAAATGTCACTTTTTATTTATGCCACTACAAAAAAACATGATGTAAATGATGCATGATGTAAAACATGATGTAAAAAACTTGTGTAGATCCTCCTCTATGTCAGTCCATGTGTAATTTTTCCATAATTCTTTGTTTTTTGGAGCATTTTTGTTAGTGTAACTGCAGATTGTGCTGACAGTGTCTATGGCAAAAAAAAAAAAAAAACTGAAAATGCCTCAACATGAACCCCTGGTGGTCTCTGAGGGTGAAACCTGCTAACTGCTGCAGCTCTGTCAGCTTCAGTCTCCCATGCAGAGCTCGGAGCGCATGTGTGGCTCTGCACCCTTAGCAGCGTTGCTAACTCCTCAGTAAGGAAAGCCTGCTTCATGTCAGAGTCTCTAAACTCCAGAAGAAGTCGATAAAAGTCACTTTCTTTCTAAAAAACGTCGTTAGGGGGTCTGAAAAGTCATTGAATCTAACAACAAAGTCGCTAGGTTTGCAACTACGTGTCCCAGACTGCATCCCTGCTGAGAGTCCCTCCCTCCCTTCTCATATTGCAGGAAGAACGTAAGCGCCCGCCCCTTGTCAATCAGTCACCATATAATTTTGGATTGGTTGTTGTGGTGAAGTTTTCCACCAATAGGAGAGATGTTGTGGTGTGTTTTTTTTTTCCTTTGGCAAGCCTTTTCCGCCTGTAAGACCTGTCGCTAATGTCTGCATGCTATGTTTTCCTGTCTCATACAGCGCGATCGAGCGCCGAACGTGATCAAAATAAGCAGAAAACAAGTATCGCGGACATAATTTATCATAACTCTGGTTTTATTTGGCCTATCAACACAATTTAAAAACTGGTATATAGGTTGAGGTCCTCACTTTTGAGATAAGTTGAAACGGAGAGTCAACGAGGCTCCGTCTTGCAGCTACATCCGGTTAAATATGTCATGTGACTTGAACGCACACACACACACACACACACACACACACACACACACACACGCACACGCACACACACACACTCAGAGTCTGGTTTTTAGCACCTGCAAAAACATGCTATTTACATATTTGACAAGAATGCAGAGGCTCCTTTTGCCCCTGAAAAAAATCAAATTTCAAACACAACTTGACTGGTCATTTCTCCAAAAGACAACCATGAAGCTCCATCCAAACCTGAAGCAGGCAGTTGGTGCATGTGTACAGTAACCTGAGGGGAGTGAGGTGACTGCTTCTAAGGAGAACATGAGCAGTGAAGATTCACCTTAGAGCTAGAACAGAGACGTGCACATGATTATACAGGGGCAGGGGCTCAAGTTTTTTCCAGTTGTTTATACAATATGGAAATTAATGTGAAATTAAAAAACAAAGTATTAATAGAAAGGTAATGACTGTCCTGTGTAGGTGACAGTGATATCCAATAGGCTAGGCACTCACGAGGCTGGCTGTGGCAAGTGTAAGTGAAAGCAACACGCACTGGCAGGAAGAACAGCAAACGCCGATGAAGGAAAAGGGTCTTTGCAGTGATGGGCGTTACCAGAGAGGGCGATGGCCAGAGGACGCGAATAGGACGGGGAGGCAGCGCGTTGGGGGGGGGGGACGCGACACAGCTCGGGCCCGCCAGTGCCCCAACGGGGTCCTAGTTCTTTGTTTCTTTCTTTCTTTTTTCTTTTTCCTCCCCTTTGAACTGGAAAATGGCCCACTTCCCACTGGCGAAAACTCATGAAATTTGGCAGGACGACCGGGCCTGGTGAAAAATTTGATATTCTGAAGTCGCCAAAACAATAAAATGCAAAATGGCTCCATAGCGCCCCCTAAGGTGAAAATTCACACTATTCACTGTCACGACTGTACGCTTTGTCAAAATGACACAAAAATTGACACACACATGTATCTCAATAAGATCTACAAAAAAGTCAGTGCGGCCGTATCTGTCAAATGTACGGTTAAAGGGTTATTACGCATTTTTTGCCGATCCGCACACATTGGAATTTCGCTAACTCCTCCGAAGGCTTTCGTTCCACCGGCACCACATTTGCTCAGGCCAATCTACACCCCGTGGCCATTAAAAGTTATCAAAATCATGACGCTGCACCCCAAGGTTTAGGTTCTAGGGGGCGCCAAAGATAACACTAAAATCCACATATTTAAAAGTCTTATAACTTTTTATTTTTGTCCTCACTGGCCTCCAAGTTTTCTAGGATGATGCAATGTCCAGCCATCAACACATTTGTGAAGGAATTTTTACTCCCCAAAAGAGCGCCCCCCATGGCAGGAGAAAAAAGTCCATTTTTTCTTGTCCCCTAAGGTGAAAATACACATTGTTGAGTGTCACGCCTATACGCTTTGTCAAAATGACACAAAAATTGACACACACATGTAACTCAATAAGATCTACGAAAAAGTCAATGCGCGCGTATCTGTCAAATGTACGGTTAAAGGGTTATTCCGCATTTTTTGCCGATCCGCACACATTGGAATGTGGCTAACTCCTCCTAAGGCTTTCGTTCCACCGGCACCACATTTGCTCAGGCCAATCTACACCCCATGGCCATTAAAAGTTATTCAAAATCATGACGCTGCACCCCACGGTTTAGGTTCTAGGGGGCGCCAAAGATAACCCTAAAATCCACATATTTAAAAGCCTTATAACTTTTTATTTTTGTCCTCACTGGCCTCCAAGTTTTCTAGGATGATGCAATGTCCAGCCATCAACAAATTTGTGAAGGAATTTTTACTCCCCAAAAGAGCGCCCCCCCATGGCAGGAGAAAAAAGTCCATTTTTTCTTGTCCCCTCAGGTGAAAATACATATTGTTGAGATTCACGCCTATACGCTTTGTCATATTGACACAAAATTTGACAATCACGTGCCTTGCCTGGTATCATTTTTTTCAGCACAACCTCACCTGTGCGAATTTACAGTTATTTTATCATGTTGACATACTGAATTTACACAATGGACCCAAATTCACACACAAAACATAAAATCCGAGTGGAAAAAAGTAACATTTTTACTGTGAAAACCACAAATATGTGTGATGAACTGTTTTTAAAACTTAAACTTCAAATAAAAATTGTAAACTTCAAAACATATGCAAATTTTTAACAAAGAACATAGTGATTTACCTCTATTTACATCAAAATGCAGGCAATGGCCCAGGCGTTCTTTGTAAAATTATTTACAAAACACTGTATAGTCTCACAAATGTCACTTTTTATTTATGCCACTACAAAAAAACATGATGTAAATGATGCATGATGTAAAACATGATGTAAAAAACTTGTGTAGATCCTCCTGTATGTCAGTCCATGTGTAATTTTTCCATAATTCTTTGTTTTTTGCAGCATTTTTGTTAGTGTAACTGCAGATTGTGCTGACAGTGTCTATGGCACAAAAAAAAAAATTAAAATGCCTCAACATGAACCCCTGGTGGTCTCTGAGGGTGAAACCTGCTAACTGCTGCAGCTCTGTCAGCTTCAGTCTCCCATGCAGAGCTCTGAGCGCATGTGTGGCTCTGCACCCTTAGCAGCGTTGCTAACTCCTCAGTAAGGAAAGCCTGCTTCATGTCAGAGTCTCTAAACTCCAGTAGAAGTCGATAAAAGTCCCTTTCTTTCTAAAAAAAAGTCGTTAGGGGGTCTGAAAAGTCATTGAATCTAACAACAAAGTCGCTAGGTTTGCAACTACGTGTCCCAGACTGCATCCCTGCTGAGAGTCCCTCCCTCCCTTCTCATGTTGCAGGAAGAACGTAAGCGCCCGCCCCTTGTCAATCAGTCACCATATAATTTTGGATTGGTTGTTGTGGTGAAGTTTTCCACCAATAGGAGAGATGTTGTGGTGTGTTTTTTTTTTCTTTTGGCAAGCCTTTTCCGCCTGTAAGACCTGTCGCTAATGTCTGCATGCTATGTTTTCCTGTCTCATACAGCGCGATCGAGCGCCGAACGTGATCAAAATAAGCAGAAAAAAAGTATCGCGGACATAATTTATCATAACTCTGGTTTTATTTGGCCTATCAACACAATTTAAAAACTGGTATATAGGTTGAGGTCCTCACTTTTGAGATAAGTTGAAACGGAGAGTCAACGAGGCTCCGTCTTGCAGCTACATCCGGTTAAATATGTCATGTGACTTGAACGCACACACAGACACACACACGCACACACACACACACACACACACACACACTCAGAGTCTGGTTTTTAGCACCTGCAAAAACATGCTATTTACATATTTGACAAGAATGCAGAGGCTCCTTTTGCCCCTGAAAAAAATCAAATTTCAAACACAACTTGACTGGTCATTTCTCCAAAAGACAACCATGAAGCTCCATCCAAACCTGAAGCAGGCAGTTGGTGCATGTGTACAGTAACCTGAGGGGAGTGAGGTGAGTGCTTCTGAGGAGAACATGAGCAGTGAAGATTCACCTTTGAGCTAGAACAGAGACATGCACATGATTATACAGGGGCAGGGGCTCAAGTTTTTTCCAGTCGTTTATACAATATGGAAATTAATGTGAAATTAAAACACAAAGTATTAATAGAAAGGTAATGACTGTCCTGTGTAGGTGACAGTGATATCCAATAGGCTAGGCACTCACGAGGCTGGCTGTGGCAAGTGTAAGTGAAAGCAACACGCACTGGCAGGAAGAACAGCAAACGCCGATGAAGGAAAAGGGTCTTTGCAGTGATGGGCGTTACCAGAGAGGGCGATGGCCAGAGGACACAAATGGGACGGGGAGGCAGCACGTTGGGGGGGGACGCGACACGGCTCGGGCCCGCCAGTGCCCCAACGGGGTCCTAGTTCTTTCTTCTTTCTTTCTTTCTTTCTTTCTTAGGGCCCGAGCGTAGCTGCTAAGCAGCTGCGAGAGCCCTCTTGTTCCTGCATGTTTCCTTCTTTTGTTATTAGGGCCCGAGCGTAGCTGCTAAGCAGCTGCGAGAGCCCTCTTGTTCCTGCATGTTTCCTTCTTTTGTTATTATTATTTTTCCTCCCCTTTGAACTGGAAAATGGCCCACTTCCCACTGGCGAAAACTCATGAAATTTGGCAGGACGACCGGGCCTGGTGAAAAATTTGATATTCTGAAGTCGCCCAAACAATACAATGCAAAATGGCTCCCTAGCGCCCCCTAAGGTGAAAAATTCACCTGACGCCTGTACGCTTTGTCAAAATGACACAAAAATTGACACACACATGTATCTCAATAAGATCTACAAAAAAGTCAGTGCGGGCGTATCTGTCAAATGTACGGTTAAAGGGTTATTTCGCATTTTTTGCCGATCCGCACACATTGGAATTTCGCTAACTCCTCCGAAGGCTTTCGTTCCACCGGCACCACATTTGCTCAGGCCAATCTACACCCCATGGCCATTAAAAGTTATTCAAATCATGACGCTGCACCCCACGGTTTAGGTTCTAGGGGGCGCCAAAGATAACCCTAAAATCCACATATTTCAAAGTCTTATAACTTTTTATTTTTGTCCTCTCTGGCCTCCAAGTTTTCTAGGATGATGCAATGTCCAGCCATCAACACATTTGTGAAGGAATTTTTACTCCCTAAAAGAGCGCCCCCCATGGCAGGAGAAAAAAGTCCATTTTTTCTTGTCCCATAAGGTGAAAATACACATTGTTGACTGTCATACCTGTATGCTTTGTCATATTGACACAAAATTTGACACACACATGTATCTCAATAAGATCTAGGAAAAAGTCAATGCGCGCGTATCTGTAAAATGTACGGTTAAAGGGCTATTTTGCATTTTTTGCCGATTAGCACACATTGGAATGTGGCTAACTCCTCCTAAGGCTTTCGTCCCACTGACACCACATTTGCTCAGGCCAATCTACACCCCATGGCCATTCAAATTTTAAAAATCATGACGCTGCACCCCACGGTTTACGTTCTAGGGGGCGCCAAAGATGACCCAAATATCCACATTCTTAAAAGAATCCACATCCCTTTCCCCCCCTCCCATCCCCCATCCCCCATGGCAGGAGAAACAGTCAAGTTTTTCCTGCCCATCACTCAATGGCTCAATCGCATCGCTCTCCCGGCAACACCGTAACGAGGAGCAACTTGCCGTTTGGATATATCCTAGCTGTGTTTGTGCCCTCACTCATGGTCCAGACTTTTTTCAAATAGGACATGTAGTTTGTCTGCAGCGAGTGTTTTGGTAGAAACTGCGCCTCCCATTCATTATAATGGGAAATGACCACAGACAAGTGCGCACACCATCTTTGGACCTTGAGTGTGACGCGATCGGGAGGGGGAGGCGGTCGCACTGGGGGCGGCGCAACGCGGCTCGGGCCCGCCAGTGCCCCAACGGGGCCCTAGTTATTATTATTATTATTATTTTTCCTCCCCTTTGAACTGGAAAATGGCCCACTTCCCACTGGCGAAAACTCATGAAATTTGGCAGGACGACCGGGCCTGGTGAAAAATTTGATATTTCGAAGTCGCCCAAACAAGAAAATGCAAAATGGCTCCATAGCGCCCCCTAAGGTGAAAATTCACACTATTGACTGTCACGCGTGTACGCTTTGTCAAAATGACACAAAAATTGACACACACATGTATCTCAATAAGATCTACAAAAAAGTCAGTGCGGGCGTATCTGTCAAATGTACGGTTAAAGGGTTATTTCGCATTTTTTGCCGATCCGCACACATTGGAATTTCGCTAACTCCTCCGAAGGCTTTCGTTCCACCGGCACCACATTTGCTCAGGCCAATCTACACCCCATGGCCATTAAAAGTTATTCAAATCATGACGCTGCACCCCACGGTTTAGGTTCTAGGAGGCGCCAAAGATAACCCTAAGATCCACATATTTAAAAGTCTTATAACTTTTTATTTTTGCCCTCACTGGCCTCCAAGTTTTCTAGGATGATGCAATGTCCAGCCATCAACACATTTGTGAAGGAATTTTTACTCCCCAAAAGAGCGCCCCCCCATGGCAGGAGAAAAAAGTCCATTTTTCTTGTCCCCTAAGGTGAAAATACACATTGTTGAGTGTAACACCTGTACGCTTTGGCAAAATGACACAAAAATTGACACACACATGTATCTCAATAAGATCTACGAAAAAGTCAACGGGCGCGTATCTGTCAAATGTACGGTGAAAGGGTTATTCCGCATTTTTTGCCGATCCGCACACATTGGAATTTCGCTAACTCCTCCGAAGGCTTTCGTTCCACCGGCACCACATTTGCTCAGGCCAATCTACACCCCATGGCCATTAAAAGTTATTCAAATCATGACGCTGCACCCCACGGTTTAGGTTCTAGGGGGCGCCAAAGATAACCCTAAAATCCACATATTTAAAAGTCTTATAACTTTTTATTTTTGTCCTCACTGGCCTCCAAGTTTTCTAGGATGATGCAATGTCCAGCCATCAAAACATTTGTGAAGGAATTTTTACTCCCCAAAAGAGCGCCCCCCCCATGGCAGGAGAAAAAAGTCAATTTTTTCTTGTCCCCTAAGGTGGAAATTCACACTATTGACTGTCACGCCTGTACGCTTTATCATATTGACACAAAAATTGACACACATATGTATCTCAATAATATCTACAAAAAAGTCAATGCGCGCGTATCTGTCAAATGTACGGTTAAAGGGCTATTTTGCATTTTTTGCCGATTCGCACACATTGGAATGTGGCTAACTCCTCCTAAGGCTTTCGTCCCACTGACACCAAATTTGCTCAGGCCAATCTACACCCCATGGCCATTCAAAGTTGTAAAAATCATGACGCTGCACCCCACGGTTTACGTTCTAGGAGGCGCCAAAGATGACCCAAAAATCCACATTCTTAAAAGAATCCCCCCCCCCCCCCCCCAAGGCAGGAGAAAAAGTCAAGTTAACCCTGCCCATCGCTCAATGGCTCAATCGCATCGCTCTCCAGGCAACACCGTAAGGAGGAGCAACCTGCCATTTCGATATATCATAGCTGTGTTTGTGCCCTCACTCATGGTCCAGACTTTTTTCAAATAGGACATGAAGTTTGTCTGCAGCGAGTGTTTTGGTAGAAACTGCGCCTCCCATTCATTATAATGGGAAATGACCACAGACAAGTGCGCACATCATCTTTGGACCTTGAGTGTGACGCGATCGTGAGGGGGAGGCGGTCGCGCTGGGGGCGGCGCGACGCGGCTCGGGCCCGACAGTGCCCCACCGGGGCCCTAGTTAGGGCCCGAGCCAGCTGCAGAGCAGCCGGGCGTAGGCCCTATTATTCCCCAAGTGGTTTTTCTTTGTTTCTTTCTTTCTTTCTTTCTTTCTTTCTTTCTTTCTTTCTTCTTTTTCCTCCCCTTTGAACTGGAAAATGGCCCACTTCCCACTGGCGAAAACTCATGAAATTTGGCAGGACGACCGGGCCTGGTGAAAAATTCAATATTCTGAAGTCGCCCAAACAATAAAATGCAAAATGGCTCCATAGCGCCCCCTAAGGTGGAAATTCACACTATTGACTGTCACGCCTGTACGCTTTGTCATATTGACACAAAAATTGACACACATATGTATCTCAATAAGATCTACAAAAAAGTCAGTGCGGCCGTATCTGTCAAATGTACGGTTAAAGGGTTATTTCGCATTTTTTTCCGATCCGCACACATTGGAATTTCGCTAACTCCTCCGAAGGCTTTCGTTCCACCGGCACCACATTTGCTCAGGCCAATCTACACCCCATGGCCATTAAAAGTTATTCAAATCATGACGCTGCACCCCACGGTTTAGGTTCTAGGGGGCGCCAAAAATAACCCTAAAATCCACATATTTAAAAGTCTTATAACTTTTTATTTTTGTCCTCACTGGCCTCCAAGTTTTCTAGGATGATGCAATGTCCAGCCATCAACACATCTGTGAAGGAATTTTTACTCGCCAAAAGAGCGCCCCCCATGGCAGGAGAAAAAAGTCAATTTTTTCTTGTCCCCTAAGGTGAAAATACACATTGTAGAGTGTCACGCCTGTACAGCTTTGGCAAAATGACACAAAAATTGACACACACATGTATCTCAATAAGATCTACAAAAAAGTCCATGCGCGCGTATCTGTCAAATGTACGGTTAAAGGGTTATTCCCCTTTTTTGCCGATACGCACACATTGGAATTTCGCTAACTCCTCCGAAGGCTTTCGTTCCACCGGCACCACATTTGCTCAGGCCAATCTACACCCCATGGCCATTAAAAGTTATTCAAATCATGATGCTGCACCCCATGGTTTAGGTTCTAGGGGGCGCCAAAAATAACCCAAAAATCCACATTCTTAAATGTTTTATAACTTTTTTTTTTGTCCTCACTGGCCTCCAAGTTTTCTAGGATGATGCAATGTCCAGCCATCAACACATTTGTGAAGGAATTTTTACTCCCCAAAAGAGCGCCCCCCATGGTAGGAGAAAAAAGTCAATTTTTTCTTGTCCCCTTACATGAAAATACACATTGTTGAGTGTCACGCCTGAACGCTATGTCATATTGACACAAAAATTGACAATCATGTGTATCTCAATTAGATCTACGAAAAAGTCAAAGAGCGCGTATCTGTATAATGTACGGTTAAAGGGCTATTTTGCATTTTTTGCCGATTCGCACACATTGGAATGTGGCTATCTCCTCCTAAGGCTTTCGTCCCACCGATACCAAATTTGCTCAGGGCAATCTACACCCCATGCCCATTCAAAGTTGTAAAAATCATGACGCTGCACCCCACGGTTTACGTTCTAGGGGGCGCCAAAGATGACCCAAAAATCCACATTCTTAAAAGTCATTTTGGCCACTGCAGGAGTACAGAGTACTGCAGTTCTAGGGGGCGCCAAAGATGACCCAAAAATCCACATTCTTAAAAGTCTTTTTGGCCACTGCAGGAGTACAGAGTACTGCAGGATACACACACATATACACACACGCCAACATACACACACACACACACACACACACACACACACACACACACACTCAGAGTCTGTTTTTTAGCACCTGCAAAAACATGCTGTTTACATATTTGACAAGAATGCAGAGGCTTCCTTTTGCCCCTGAAAAAAATCAAATTTCAAACACAACTTGACTGTTCATTTCTCCAAAAGACAACCATGAAGCTCCATCCAAACCTGAAGCAGATAGTTGGTGCATGTGTACAGTAACCTGAGGGGAGTGAGGTGACTATTTCTGAGGAGAACATGAGCAGTGAAGATTCACCTTGGAGCTAGAACAGGGACGTGCACATGATTATACAGGGGCAGGGGCTCAAGTTTTTTCCAGTCATTTATACAATATGGAAATTAATGTGAAATTAAGCCACAAATATGTGTGATGAACTGTTTTTAAAACTTAAACTTCAAATAAAAATTGTAAACTTCAAAACATATGCAAATTTTTAACAAAGAACATAGTAATTTACCTCTATTTACATCAAAATGCAGGCAATGGCCCAGGCGTTCTTTGTAAAATTATTTACAAAACACTGTATAGTCTCACAAATGTCACTTTTTATTTATGCCACTACAAAAAAACATGATGTAAATGATGCATGATGTAAAACATGATGTAAAAAACTTGTGTAGATCCTCCTCTATGTCAGTCCATGTGTAATTTTTCCATAATTCTTTGTTTTTTGCAGCATTTTTGTTAGTGTAACTGCAGATTGTGCTGACAGTGTCTATGGCAAAAAAAAAAAAAAAAACTGAAAATGCCTCAACATGAACCCCTGGTGGTCTCTGAGGGTGAAACCTGCTAACTGCTGCAGCTCTGTCAGCTTTAGTCTCCCATGCAGAGCTCGGAGCGCATGTGTGGCTCTGCACCCTTAGCAGCGTTGCTAACTCCTCAGTAAGGAAAGCCTGCTTCATGTCAGAGTCTCTAAACTCCAGAAGAAGTCGATAAAAGTCCCTTTCTTTCTAAAAAAAAGTCGTTAGGGGGTCTGAAAAGTCATTGAATCTAACAACAAAGTCGCTAGGTTTGCAACTACGTGTCCCAGACTGCATCCCTGCTGAGAGTTCCTCCCTCCCTTCTCATGTTGCAGGAAGAACGTAAGCGCCCGCCCCTTGTCAATCAGTCACCATATAATTTTGGATTGGTTGTTGTGGTGAAGTTTTCCACCAATAGGAGAGATGTTGTGGTGTGTTTTTTTTTTCTTTGGCAAGCCTTTTCCGCCTGTAAGACCTGTCGCTAATGTCTGCATGCTATGTTTTCCTGTCTCATACAGCGCGATCGAGCGCCGAACGTGATCAAAATAAGCAGAAAAAAAGTATCGCGGACATAATTTATCATAACTCTGGTTTTATTTGGCCTATCAACACAATTTGAAAACTGGTGTATAGTTTGAGGTCCTCACTTTTGAGATAAGTTGAAACGGAGAGTCAACGAGGCTCCGTCTTGCTGCTACATCCGGTTAAATATGTAATGTGACTTGAACGCTGGGGAGCGTCAATCGACTGCAGAGCCAGCAGACAAAGTAGTTGTGGCCACTGAAAGGCACATATTTGTCATATGCTATAATCCTAACATATTTTAATGCTTTTTCTATTTAAACCTAATGGATCTAAGGTTTGACCTTCAAAATTTAGGAAGAATATGTTTTTGCAGTAATGACCCCGTTAAACAACCAGAGGTCCTTTCCTAAAGTTTATGGAAATTTTAGTGAAGGCCTTGGTTTCTTTCCTTGCAAAATGTATAGAAATAATAAAGCTAAATTCCATAAAATGGTCTTGGCGTATTAGCAGTGATATAAAATAGTGGTTTGAATATGAATGAACAACAACAAAAAAAAAACATCAACAGAGCCTTTTTGAGTTGGGATTCTTTCATTATCACACAAAAACAGACATAGACAGACATCTAAAGGGAAGGGAATGATCAGCCCTCCTAACTCTCAGATGAATCTTCAAAATTCACCTCAGAAATATGCTTATTATTCTTCTCAGAGTACTGCAGGATATACACACACACACACTCAGAGTCTTTTTTTTAGCACCTGCAAAAACATGCTATTTACATATTTGACTAGAATGCAGAGGCCCCTTTTTGCCCCTGAAAAAAATCAAATTTCAAACACAACTTGACTGCTCATTTCTCCAAAAGACAACCATGAAGCTCCATCCAAACCTGAAGCAGGCAGTTGGTGCATGTGTACAGTCACCTGAGGGGAGTGAGGTGACTACTTCTGAGGAGAACATGAGCAGTGAAGATTCACCTTGGAGCTAGAACAGGGACGTGCACATGATTATACAGGGGCAGGGGCTCAAGTTTTTTCCAGTCATTTATACAATATTGAAATTAATGTGAAATTAAAAAACAAGTATTAATAGAAAGGTTATGACTGTCCTGTGTAGATGACAGTGATATCCAATAGGCTAGGCACTCACGAGGCTGGCTGTGGCAAGTGTAAGTGAAAGCAACACGCACTGGCAGGAAGAACAGCAAACGCCGATGAAGGAAAGGGTCTTTGCAGTGATGGGCGTTACCAGAGAGGGCGATGGCCAGAGGACACGAATGGGACGGGGAGGCAGCGCGTTGGGGGGGGCAGCGCGACACGGCTCGGGCCCGCCAGTGCCCCAACGGGGCCCTAGTTATTATTTTTCCTCCCCTTTGAACTGGAAAATGGCCCACTTCCCACTGGCGAAAACTCATGAAATTTGGCAGGACGACCGGGCCTGGTGAAAAATTTGATATTCCGAAGTCGCCCAAACAAGAAAATGCAAAATGGCTCCATAGCGCCCCCTAAGGTGAAAAATTCACCTGACGCCTGTACGCTTTGTCAAAATGACACAAAAATTGACACACACATGTATCTCAATAAGATCTACAAAAAAGTCAGTGCGGGCGTATCTGTCAAATGTACGGTTAAAGGGTTATTGCGCATTTTTTGCCGATCCGCACACATTGGAATTTCGCTAACTCCTCCGAAGGCTTTCGTTCCACCGGCACCACATTTGCTCAGGCCAATCTACACCCCATGGCCATTAAAAGTTATTCAAATCATGACGCTGCACCCCACGGTTTAGGTTCTAGGGGGCGCCAAAGATAACACTAAAATCCACATATTTCAAAGTCTTATAACTTTTTATTTTTGTCCTCACTGGCCTCCAAGTTTTCTAGGATGATGCAATGTCCAGCCATCAACACATTTGTGAAGGAATTTTTACTCCCCAAAAGAGCGCCCCCCCATGGCAGGAGAAAAAAGTCCATTTTTTCTTGTCCCCTAAGGTGAAAATACACATTGTTGAGTGTCACGCCTGTACGCTTTGTCAAAATGACACAAAAATTGACACACACATGTATCTCAATAAGATCTACAAAAAAGTCAATGGGCGCGTATCTGTCAAATGTACGGTTAAAGGGTTATTCCGCATTTTTTGCCGATTCGCACACATTGGAATTTCGCTAACTCCTCCGAAGGCTTTCGTTCCACCGGCACCACATTTGCTCAGGCCAAATTACACCCCATGGCCATTAAAAGTTATTCAAATCATGACGCTGCACCCCACGGTTTACGTTCTAGGGGGCGCCAAAGATAACCCAAAAATCCAAATTTTTAAAAGTCTTATAACTTTTTATTTTTGTCCTCACTGGCCTCCAAGTTTTCTAGGATGATGCAATGTCCAGCCATCAACACATTTGTGAAGGAATTTTTACTCCCTAAAAGAGCGCCCCCCATGGCAGGAGAAAAAAGTCCATTTTTTCTTGTCCCCTAAGGTGAAAATACACATTGTTGACTGTCACGCCTGTACGCTTTGGCAAAATGACACAAAAATTGACAATCATGTGTATCTCAATTAGATCTACGAAAAAGTCAAGAGCGCGTATCTGTATAATGTACGGTAAAAGGGCTATTTTGCATTTTTTGCCGATTCGCACATATTGGAATTTCGCTAACTCCTCCTAAGGCTTTCGTCCCACTGACACCAAATTTGCTCAGGCCAATCTACACTCCATGGCCATTCAAAGTTGTAAAAATCATGACGCGGCACCCCACGGTTTACGTTTTAGGGGGCGCCAAAGATGACCCAAATATACATTACAGTAGACAAAGTAGTTTTGCCCACTGAGTGGCGCCAAAGGGACTTGTCTGTGGAGTCTGTGAGTCACTATTGGCCGTTTTTGACTACTTTAGATTTTACCTTTATATTTCCTCTTACAAAATTTTTACCTTGCCTTGCCTGGTATCATTTTTTTCAGCACAACCTCACCTGTGTCAATTTACAGTTATTTTATCATTTTGACATACTATATTTACACATTGGACCCAAATTCACACACAAAACATAAAATCCGAGTGGAAAAAAGTAACGTTTTTACTGTGAAAACCACAAATATGTGTGATGAACTGTTTTTAAAACTTAAACTTCAAATAAAAATTGTAAACTTCAAAACATATGCAAATTTTTAACAAAGAACATAGTAATTTACCTCTATTTACATCAAAATGCAGGCAATGGCCCAGGTGTTCTTTGTAAAATTATTTACAAAACACTGTATAGTCTCACAAATGTCACTTTTTATTTATGCCACTACAAAAAAACATGATGTAAATGATGCATGATGTAAAACATGATGTAAAAAACTTGTGTAGATCCTCCTCTATGTCAGTCCATGTGTAATTTTTCCATAATTCTTTGTTTTTTGCAGCATTTTTGTTAGTGTAACTGCAGATTGTGCTGACAGTGTCTATGGCAAAAAAAAAAAAAAAAACTGAAAATGCCTCAACATGAACCCCTGGTGGTCTCTGAGGGTGAAACCTGCTAACTGCTGCAGCTCTGTCAGCTTCAGTCTCCCATGCAGAGCTCGGAGCGCATGTGTGGCTCTGCACCCTTAGCAGCGTTGCTAACTCCTCAGTAAGGAAAGCCTGCTTCATGTCAGAGTCTCTAAACTCCAGAAGAAGTCGATAAAAGTCACTTTCTTTCTAAAAAAACGTCGTTAGGGGGTCTGAAAAGTCATTGAATCTAACAACAAAGTCGCTAGGTTTGCAACTACGTGTCCCAGACTGCATCCCTGCTGAGAGTCCCTCCCTCCCTTCTCATATTGCAGGAAGAACGTAAGCGCCCGCCCCTTGTCAATCAGTCACCATATAATTTTGGATTGGTTGTTGTGGTGAAGTTTTCCACCAATAGGAGAGATGTTGTGGTGTGTTTTTTTTTCCTTTGGCAAGCCTTTTCCGCCTGTAAGACCTGTCGCTAATGTCTGCATGCTATGTTTTCCTGTCTCATACAGCGCGATCGAGCGCCGAACGTGATCAAAATAAGCAGAAAACAAGTATCGCGGACATAATTTATCATAACTCTGGTTTTATTTGGCCTATCAACACAATTTAAAAACTGGTATATAGGTTGAGGTCCTCACTTTTAAGATAAGTTGAAACGGAGAGTCAACGAGGCTCCGTCTTGCAGCTACATCCGGTTAAATATGTCATGTGACTTGAACGCACACACACACACACACACACACACACACACACACACACACACACACACACACACAGACACACACACACACGCACACACACACACTCAGAGTCTGGTTTTTAGCACCTGCAAAAACATGCTATTTACATATTTGACAAGAATGCAGAGGCTCCTTTTGCCCCTGAAAAAAATCAAATTTCAAACACAACTTGACTGGTCATTTCTCCAAAAGACAACCATGAAGCTCCATCCAAACCTGAAGCAGGCAGTTGATGCATGTGTACAGTAACCTGAGGGGAGTGAGGTGACTGCTTCTGAGGAGAACATGAGCAGTGAAGATTCACCTTAGAGCTAGAACAGAGACGTGCACATGATTATACAGGGGCAGGGGCTCAAGTTTTTACCAGTTGTTTATACAATATGGAAATTAATGTGAAATTAAAAAACAAAGTATTAATAGAAAGGTAATGACTGTCCTGTGTAGGTGACAGTGATATCCAATAGGCTAGGCACTCAAGAGGCTGGCTGTGGCAAGTGTAAGTGAAAGCAACACGCACTGGCAGGAAGAACAGCAAACGCCGATGAAGGAAAAGGGTCTTTGCAGTGATGGGCGTTACCAGAGAGGGCGATGGCCAGAGGACACAAATGGGACGGGGAGGCAGCGCGTTGGGGGGGGGACGCGACACAGCTCGGGCCCGCCAGTGCCCCAACGGGGTCCTAGTTCTTTAGGGCCCGAGCCAGCTGCAGAGCAGCCGGGCGTAGGCCCTATTATTCCCCAAGTGGTTTTTCTTTGTTTCTTTCTTTAGGGCCCGAGCGTAGCTGCTAAGCAGCTGCGAGAGCCCTCTTGTTCCTGTAGTTTCCTTCTTTTGTTATTATTATTATTTTTCCTCCCCTTTGAACTGGAAAATGGCCCACTTCCCACTGGCGAAAACTCATGAAATTTGGCAGGACGACCGGGCCTGGTGAAAAATTTGATATTCTGAAGTCGCCCAAACAATAAAATGCAAAATGGCTCCATAGCGCCCCCTAAGGTGAAAATTCACACTATTCACTGTCACGCCTGTACGCTTTGTCAAAATGACACAAAAATTGACACACACATGTATTCTCAATAAGATCTACAAAAAAGTCAGTGCGGGCGTATCTGTCAAATGTACGGTTAAAGGGTTATTTCGCATTTTTTGCCGATCCGCACACATTGGAATTTCGCTAACTCCTCCGAAGGCTTTCGTTCCACCGGCACCACATTTGCTCAGGCCAATCTACACCCCATGGCCATTAAAAGTTATTCAAATCATGACGCTGCACCCCACGGTTTAGGTTCTAGGGGGCGCCAAAGATAACCCTAAGATCCACATATTTAAAAGTCTTATAACTTTTTATTTTTGCCCTCACTGGCCTCCAAGTTTTCTAGGATGATGCAATGTCCAGCCATCAACACATTTGTGAAGGAATTTTTACTCCCCAAAAGAGCGCCCCCCCATGGCAGGAGAAAAAAGTCCATTTTTTCTTGTCCCCTAAGGTGAAAATACACATTGTTGAGTGTAACACCTGTACGCTTTGTCAAAATGACACAAAAATTGACACACACATGTATCTCAATAAGATCTACAAAAAAGTCAATGCGCGCGTATCTGTCAAATGTACGGTTAAAGGGTTATTCCGCATTTTTTGCCGATCCGCACACATTGGAATTTCGCTAACTCCTCCGAAGGCTTTCGTTCCACCGGCACCACATTTGCTCAGGCCAATCTACACCCCATGGCCATTAAAAGTTATTCAAATCATGACGCTGCACCCCACGGTTTAGGTTCTAGGGGCGCCAAAGATAACCGTAAAATCCACATATTTAAAAGTCTTATAACTTTTTATTTTTGTCCCCACTGGCCTCCAAGTTTTCTAGGATGATGCAATGTCCAGCCATCAACACATTTGTGAAGGAATTTTTACTCCCAAAAGAGCGCCCCCCATGGCAGGAGAAAAAAGTCAATTTTTTCTTGTCCCATAAGGTGAAAATACACATTGTTGAGTGTCTACGCCTGTATGCTTTTGTCATAGTGACACAAAATTTTACACACACGTGTATCTCAATAAGATCTACGAAAAAGTCAATGGCGCGTATCTGTCAAATGTACGGTTAAAGGGCTATTTTGCATTTTTTGCCGATTCGCACACATTGGAATGTGGCTAACTCCTCCGAAGGCTTTCGTCCCACTGGCACCACATTTGCTCAGGCCAATCTACACCCCATGGCCATTAAAAGTTATTCAAATCATGACGCTGCACCCCACGGTTTAGGTTCTAGGGGGCGCCAAAGATAACCCTAAAATCCACATATTTAAAAGTCTTATAACTTTTTATTTTTGTCCTCACTGGCCTCCAAGTTTTCTAGGATGATGCAATGTCCAGCCATCAACACATTTGTGAAAGAATTTTTCTCCCCAAAGAGCGCCCCCATGGCAGGAGAAAAGTTAAGTTTTTCCTGCCCTTCGCCCAATGGCTCAAACGCATCGCTCTCTCGGCAAACCGAAAGGAGGAGCAACTTGCCATTTGGATATATGGAAGCTGTGTTTGTGCCCTCACTCATGGTCCAGACTTTTTTCAAAAAGGACATGGAGTTTGTCTGCAGCGAGCATTTTGGTAGAAACTGCGCCTCCCATTCATTATAATGGTAAATGACCACAGACAAGTGCGCACACCATCTTTGGACCTTGAGTGTGACGCGATCGGGAGGGGGAGGCGGTCGCGCTGGGGGCGGCGCGACACGGCTCGGGCCCGCCAGTGCCCCACCGGGGCCCTAGTTCTTTCTTTCTTTCTTCTTTTTCCTCCCCTTTGAACTGGAAAATGGCCCACTTCCCACTGGCGAAAACTCATGAAATTTGGCAGGACGACCGGGCCTGGTGAAAAATTCGATATTCTGAAGTCGCCCAAACAATAAAATGCAAAATGGCTCCATAGCGCCCCCTAAGGTGGAAATTCACACTATTGACTGTCACGCCTGTACGCTTTGTCATATTGACACAAAAATTGACACACATATGTATCTCAATAAGATCTACAAAAAAGTCAGTGCGGCCGTATCTGTCAAATGTACGGTTAAAGGGTTATTCCGCATTTTTTTCCGATCCGCACACATTGGAATTTCGCTAACTCCTCCGAAGGCTTTCGTTCCACCGGCACCACATTTGCTCAGGCCAATCTACACCCTGTGGCCATTAAAAGTTATCAAAATCATGACGCTGCACCCCAAGGTTTAGGTTCTAGGGGGCGCCAAAGATAACACTAAAATCCACATATTTAAAAGTCTTATAACTTTTTATTTTTGTCCTCACTGGCCTCCAAGTTTTCTAGGATGATGCAATGTCCAGCCATCAACACATTTGTGAAGGAATTTTTACTCCCCAAAAGAGCGCCCCCCCATGGCAGGAGAAAAAAGTCCATTTTTTCTTGTCCCCTAAGGTGAAAATACACATTGTTGAGTGTCACGCCTATACGCTTTGTCAAAATGACACAAAAATTGACACACACATGTATCTCAATAAGATCTACGAAAAAGTCAATGCGCGCGTATCTGTCAAATGTACGGTTAAAGGGTTATTCCGCATTTTTTGGTGATCCGCACACATTGGAATGTGGCTAACTCCTCCTAAGGCTTTCGTTCCACCGGCACCACATTTGCTCAGGACAATCTACACCCCATGGCCATTAAAAGTTATTCAAATCATGACGCTGCACCCCACGGTTTAGGTTCTAGGGGGCGCCAAAGATAACCCTAAAATCCACATATTTAAAAGTCTTATAACTTTTTATTTTTGTCCTCACTGGCCTCCAAGTTTTCTAGGATGATGCAATGTCCAGCCATCAACACATTTGTGAAGGAATTTTTACTCCCCAAAAGAGCGCCCCCCCATGGCAGGAGAAAAAAGTCCATTTTTTCTTGTCCCCTAAGGTGAAAATACATATTGTTGAGATTCACGCCTATACGCTTTGTCATATTGACACAAAATTTGACAATCACGTGCCTTGCCTGGTATCATTTTTTTCAGCACAACCTCACCTGTGCGAATTTACAGTTATTTTATCATGTTGACATACTGAATTTACACAATGGACCCAAATTCACACACAAAACATAAAATCCGAGTGGAAAAAAGTAACATTTTTACTGTGAAAACCACAAATATGTGTGATGAACTGTTTTTAAAACTTAAACTTCAAATAAAAATTGTAAACTTCAAAACATATGCAAATTTTTAACAAAGAACATAGTGATTTACCTCTATTTTCATCAAAGTGCAGGCAATGGCCCAGGCGTTCTTTGTAAAATTATTTACAAAACACTGTATAGTCTCACAAATGTCACTTTTTATTTATGCCACTACAAAAAAACATGATGTAAATGATGCATGATGTAAAACATGATGTAAAAAACTTGTGTAGATCCTCCTCTATGTCAGTCCATGTGTAATTTTTCCATAATTCTTTGTTTTTTGCAGCATTTTTGTTAGTGTAACTGCAGATTGTGCTGACAGTGTCTATGGCACAAAAAAAAAAAAAATTAAAATGCCTCAACATGAACCCCTGGTGGTCTCTGAGGGTGAAACCTGCTAACTGCTGCAGCTCTGTCAGCTTCAGTCTCCCATGCAGAGCTCGGAGCGCATGTGTGGCTCTGCACCCTAAGCAGTGTTGCTAACTCCTCAGTAAGGAAAGCCTGCTTCATGTCAGAGTCTCTAAACTCCAGAAGAAGTCGATAAAAGTCACTTTCTTTCTAAAAAAAAGTCGTTAGGGGGTCTGAAAAGTCATTGAATCTAACAACAAAGTCGCTAGGTTTGCAACTACGTGTCCCAGACTGCATCCCTGCTGAGAGTCCCTCCCTCCCTTCTCATATTGCAGGAAGAACGTAAGTTCCCGCCCCTTGTCAATCAGTCACCATATAATTTTGGATTGGTTGTTGTGGTGAAGTTTTCCACCAATAGGAGAGATGTTGTGGTGTGTTTTTTTTTTCCTTTGGCAAGCCTTTTCCGCCTGTAAGACCTGTCGCTAATGTCTGCATGCTATGTTTTCCTGTCTCATACAGCGCGATCGAGCGCCGAACGTGATCAAAATAAGCAGAAATAAGTATTGCGGACATAATTTATCATAACTCTGGTTTTATTTGGCCTATCAACACAATTTAAAAACTGGTATATAGTTTGAGGTCCTCACTTTTAAGATAAGTTGAAACGAAGAATCAACGAGGCTCCGTCTTGCAGCTACATCCGGTTAAATATGTCATGTGACTTGAACGCTGGGGAGCGTCAATCGAATCGAATCAAACCTAACTCTCAGATGAATCTTCAAAATTCACCTCAGAAATATGCTTATTATTCTTCTCAGAGTACTGCAGGATACACACACACACAGACACACACACACACACGCACACACACTCAGAGTCTGTTTTTTAGCACCTGCAAACACATGCTATTTACATATTTGACAAGAATGCAGAGGCTTTCTTTTGCCTCTGAAAAAAATCAAATTTCAAACACAACTTGACTGCTCATTTCTCCAAAAGACAACCATGAAGCTCCATCCAAACCTGAAGCAGGCAGTTGGTGCATGTGTACAGTAACCTGAGGGGAGTGAGGTGACTGCTTCTGAGGAGAACATGAGCAGTGAAGATTCACCTTGGAGCTATAACAGGGCCGGCACATGATTATACAGGGGCAGGGGCTCAAGTTTTTTCCAGTCGTTTATACAATATGGAAATTAATGTGAAATTAAAAAACAAAGTATTAATAGAAAGGTAATGACTGTCCTGTGTAGGTGACAGTGATATCCAATAGGCTAGGCACTCACGAGGCTGGCTGTGGCAAGTGTAAGTGAAAGCAACACGCACTGGCAGGAAGAACAGCAAACGCCGATGAAGGAAAAGGGTCTTTGCAGTGATGGGCGTTACCAGAGAGGGCGATGGCCAGAGGACGCGAATGGGACGGGGAGGCAGCGCGTTGGGGGGGGGCGCGACACGGCTCGGGCCCGCCAGTGCCCCAACGGGGCCCTAGTTTCTTCTTATTTTTCCTCCCCTTTGAAGGGGAAAATGGCCCACTTCCCACTGGCGAAAACTCATGAAATTTGGCAGGACGAATGGGCCTGGTGAAAAATTCGATATTCTGAAGTCGCCCAAACAATAAAATGCAAAATGGCTCCATAGCGCCCCCTAAGGTGAAAATTCACACTATTGACTGTCACGCCTTTACGCTTTGTCATATTGACACAAAAATTGACACACACATGTATCTCAATAAGATCTACAAAAAAGTCAGTGCGGGCGTATCTGTCAAATGTACGGTTAAAGGGTTATTTTGCATTTTTTGCCGATCCGCACACATTGGAATTTCGCTAACTCCTCCGAAGGCTTTCGTTCCACCGGCACCACATTTGCTCAGGCCAATCTACACCCCATGGCCATTAAAAGTTGTACAAATCATGACGCTGCACCCCACGGTTTACGTTCTAGGGGGCGCCAAAGATAACCCAAAAATCCACAGTCTTAAAAGTCTTATAACTTTTTATTTTTGTCCTCACTGGCCTCCAAGTTTTCTAGGATGATGCAATGTCCAGCCATCAACACATTTGTGAAGGAATTTTTACTCCCCAAAAGAGCGCCCCCCCATGGCAGGAGAAAAAAGTCAATTTTTTCTTGTCTCCTAAGGCGAAAATTCACACTATTGACTGTCACGCCTTTACGCTTTGTCATATTGACACAAAAATTGACACACACATGTATCTCAATAAGATCTACAAAAAAGTCAGTGCGGGCGTATCTGTCAAATGTACGGTTAAAGGGCTATTTCGCATTTTTTGCCGATCCGCACACATTGGAATTTCGCTAACTCCTCCGAAGGCTTTCGTTTCAAAGGCACCACATTTGCTCAGGCCAATCTACACCCCATGGCCATTAAAAGTTGTACAAATCATGACGCTGCACCCCACGGTTTACGTTCTAGGGGGCGCCAAAGATAACCCAAAAATCCACAGTCTTAAAAGTCTTATAACTTTTTATTTTTGTCCTCACTGGCCTCCAAGTTCTCTAGGATGATGCAATGTCCAGCCATCAACACATTTGTGAAGGAATTTTTACTCGCCAAAAGAGCGCCCCCCCATGGCAGGAGAAAAAAGTCCATTTTTTCTTGTCTCCTAAGGCGAAAATACACATTGTTGACTGTCACGCCTTTACGCTTTGTCAAAATGACACAAAATTTGACACACACATGTATCTCAATAAGATCTACGAAAAAGTCAATGCGACCGTATCTGTTCAATGTACGGTTAAAGGGCTATTTCGCATTTTTTGCCGATTCGCACACATTGGAATGTGGCTAACTCCTCCTAAATCTTTTGTCCCATCGGCTTCAAATTTGCTCAGGTCAATCTACACCCCATGGCCATTCAAAGTTGTACAAATCATGACGCTGCACCCCACAGTTTACGTTCTAGGGGGCGCCAAAGAGGACCCAAATATCCACATTTTTAAAAGTCTTATAACTTTTTATTTTTGTCCTCACTGGCCTCCAAGTTTTCTAGGATGATGCAATGTCCAGCCATCAACACATTTGTGAAGGAATTTTTCTCCCCAAAAGAGCGCCCCCCATGGCAGGAGAAAAAGTCAAGTTTTTCCTGCCCATCGCTCAATGGCTCAAACGCATCGCTCTCTCGGCAAAACCGAAAGGAGGAGCAACTTGCCATTTGGATATATACTAGCTGTGTTTGTGCCCTCAATCATGGTCCAGACTTTTTTCAAAAAGGACACGTAGTTTTTCTGCAGCGAGCGTTTTGGTAGAGACTGTGCCTCCCATTCATTATAATGGGAAATGACCAAAGACAGTTGCGCACACCATCTTTGGACCCTGACTGTGACGTCACAGTTTGAGATACAAATGTTATTTGACCTCTGACCTTTAGTGGAGACCCTAACCTTTCAACGCGCAAAAGCGTTGGACACACACTGGCGGGAAGAACCACAAACGCCGATGAAGGATAAGGGTCTTTGTAGTGATGGGCGTTACCAGAGAGGGCGATGGCCAGAGGAAGAGAATGGGACGGGGAGGCGATCGCGTTGGGGAGGGGGCGCGACACGGCTCGGGCCCGCCAGTGCCCCAACGGGGCCCTAGTTATTATTTTTCCTCCCCTTTGAACTGGAAAATGGCCCACTTCCCACTGGCGAAAACTCATGAAATTTGGCAGGACGACCGGGCCTGGTGAAAAATTTGATATTCCGAAGTCGCCCAAACAAGAAAATGCAAAATGGCTCCATAGCGCCCCCTAAGGTGAAAAATTCACCTGACGCCTGTACGCTTTGTCAAAATGACACAAAAATTGACACACACATGTATCTCAATAAGATCTACAAAAAAGTCAGTGCGGGCGTATCTGTCAAATGTACGGTTAAAGGGTTATTGCGCATTTTTTGCCGATCCGCACACATTGGAATTTCGCTAACTCCTCCGAAGGCTTTCGTTCCACCGGCACCACATTTGCTCAGGCCAATCTACACCCCATGGCCATTAAAAGTTATTCAAATCATGACGCTGCACCCCACGGTTTAGGTTCTAGGGGGCGCCAAAGATAACACTAAAATCCACATATTTCAAAGTCTTATAACTTTTTATTTTTGTCCTCACTGGCCTCCAAGTTTTCTAGGATGATGCAATGTCCAGCCATCAACACATTTGTGAAGGAATTTTTACTCCCCAAAAGAGCGCCCCCCCATGGCAGGAGAAAAAAGTCCATTTTTTCTTGTCCCCTAAGGTGAAAATACACATTGTTGAGTGTCACGCCTGTACGCTTTGTCAAAATGACACAAAAATTGACACACACATGTATCTCAATAAGATCTACAAAAAAGTCAATGGGCGCGTATCTGTCAAATGTACGGTTAAAGGGTTACTCCGCATTTTTTGCCGATTCGCACACATTGGAATTTCGCTAACTCCTCCGAAGGCTTTCGTTCCACCGGCACCACATTTGCTCAGGCCAAATTACACCCCATGGCCATTAAAAGTTATTCAAATCATGACGCTGCACCCCACGGTTTACGTTCTAGGGGGCGCCAAAGATAACCCAAAAATCCAAATTTTTAAAAGTCTTATAACTTTTTATTTTTGTCCTCACTGGCCTCCAAGTTTTCTAGGATGATGCAATGTCCAGCCATCAACACATTTGTGAAGGAATTTTTACTCGGCAAAAGAGCGCCCCCCCATGGCAGGAGAAAAAAGTCAATTTTTTCTTGTCCACTAAGGTGAAAATACACATTGTTGAGTGCTACGCCTGTATGTTTTGTCGTATTGACACAAAATTTTACATACACGTGTATTTCAATAAGATCTTCGAAAAAGTCAATGGCCACGTATCTGTAAAATGTACGGTTAAAGGGTTATTTCGCATTTTTTGCAGATTCGCACACATTGGAATTTCGCTAATTCCTCCGAAGGCTTTCGTTCCACCGGCACCACATTTGCTCAGGCCAATCTACACCCCATGGCCATTAAAAGTTATTCAAATCATGACGCTGCACCCCACGGTTTAGGTTCTAGGGGGCGCCAAATATAACCCTAAAATCCACATATTTAAAAGTCTTATAACTTTTTATTTTTGTCCTCACTGGCCTCCATGTTTTCTAGGATGATGCAATGTCCAGCCATCAACACATTTGTGAAGGAGTTTTTTCTCTTTAAAAGAGCGCCCCCCCATGGCAGGAGAATAAAGTCAAGTTTTTCCTGTTCATCATTCAATGGCTCAAACGCACTGCTCTCTCGGCAAAAGCGAAAGGAGGAGCAACTTGCCATTTGGATATATCTTAGCTGTGTTTGTGCCCTC